CTCTTCACTGATCCCACACAGTGGTGGTCGTGGGGAATACTTGTCTGAATCTGTCTGACTCATTTGACTGATTTATGTCAGCTACGTTAGATACATTTCCACATTTGAATTTGTTTGTTAGTCTACATGAATGCCTCCTGTATGTCTGTGTAATGTGATCATCCATTTTTCCACTACAACAGCTATTTTTAGTGTCATGGAGCTTGTCCGTCTTTCCTGGTATCTCCCCGTTTGTCTGTTTTTCTGTCCCACTTTCGAGTCTGATCTGCTTGTTATCGTGACCTTCTCCCTCATGCAACGACCTCAGACTCAAGCACACCCACACACACACACACACACACACACACACACACACCCACACACACACACACACACACACACACACACACACAAAGCTTTTAAATGTGATTTGCTTGTTTGCAGAATTGATCATAATTTCAAAATAATATTCTCATATTATCACAACATGTAGTTTCACCTGAACGTGGCTGCAGACGTACATGTGCAGTGAATCATGGGTACTGTAGTTCACCCGCGTACTTTCGGTCCCGTGTGGAGATTTACCTTCACTGCGTCGCTGCAGCTCAGTCGCCAGAGACAGACTCCAGTCTGACCCTCAGGATGGGTGACGTGTTCTGGCCTCTTCAGGTTGTATTGACCACAGCTGATCACATCTACCGATCACTCATTTTTAAAGGGACAGTTCTGGTTTTGTGACGTGTGGTTGTGTGAGGTAGTCGTATATAGTCGCTACATGACCTGCAGTAGATCATGGTTAGCATGCTCCCGGTTATGACGCAAAGGTAAGGGCGTGAAAATCCTCCGTAGACCAGACCGCCTCACTTCGGTTTGGTCTTCGTAGGCGGCGTCCTCTGAAGGTTGCGGCCCCTGGATTCGAACGCAGCTCGTGTCTCCGTCTTGCCTCACAGTCTCTCGCAGGTTACATCCTGTAGATCACCACCATCACAAATCCAGAGGAAAAATTAAGTCTCTGTGTTTTTAACGTTGAAAATGGAACGTTAAAATACTAAATTCATTTCTTCCAAATCACAGAAAGAGGTCACTTCCTGTCTGACGGAGACTGTTGAGCGTCTGCTGCGTCTGATTTGACCGGACATGAATGTTCTTCTCTGACATGTATTTTCTATATCCAGCTTTAAATACTCTGCAGTGTCTTTCAACCATATAGTTACAACTGAATGTCTTTGTTTCTGATTCACTCTGAAACCTGCTGGAATGAGTGTTTTTACCAAAACGGGGCAATCGAGTATTTATTTAAACCAAATACCACATACAGTATCCATACGCCGCCGACGCCCCGCTGTGTATGCTGCACTTGTTATTTCTGCTCTTTATGTAACTACATGTATTTATGAAAATGCTTTTTTATTTTAAATATGTCGGGTCAGATTGAGTTTATTCTATTTAAAGTTTTTTTTTGTGAGAGCTGTTTTTCATATCTTTTGTTCCTGCCGTCTGATTCTGTGGTTTGTTTGTGCGAGGCACTACTGATGCTGTCGATGCTAATCACGCTTCAGGGTTTAGATGAAAGATTTTCCCTCTGTAACGAAGACCGGCGTGTTGCTGCCGGATAAACACAGAGAGAAGCTTCTTCAGTTTAAACCCTTTTCATTCACTTTCTATATATCTGCCTTATTCTGTTAATCCAGTTACCAAATACAACATTAGGTAAATGATTATATTATTTTCAGTTTCTCGTTTTTATTCCTCCATGCCGGCGACAGTCAGGGCGGCGGCCATTTTGTTTTCTTTATGTCTCAGTAACACCTTGACGAACTTCTTCAGATTTGGTAAAAACGTTCACCTGGACCCAAGGATGAGCTGGTTAGATTTTGCCGGTCAAAGGTCAAAGGTCGAGGTCATGGCGGATTCATCTTGTAGTTTAATTAAACTTCAGAAAATAGAGAAAATTGCCTCCCCCAGTTTCCCAAACGGTGATGTCACAAGATATGAAGACAAAGATATTCAGTTCACATGTTTTAAAACAGAGGAAAACAACATGTTTGGCTGTGCGTAGTCTTGGTCCCCAGAGGATGAATCCTGTTGATCTTCTCTGGAGCAACAACTTCCTGATCTTGTGTTGTCCACATTCAGTTTCCAGATTTGCAGCTGACACATTTTACTGAGCACATTCCTGCTCCCCGGAGGACGAACCCTCGTGAGTTTAAAGACGTCACATTAAGAAAAGTAAAATCAGCAGGAAGTCGTCCGTTCTTTTGCCTTTTTTAGTCTTCTGACCGACTGAACGTGTCGTCAGTCGTTAGCTTCTGTCCTGATGATGCTAAAAACACAATGATGTCACCGAGTATTTTTAGCTCAGACCTGAACCTGCTGCTTGTTACTGAGCGTCTGGACTGACCTCCATTCCTGCTGCTGTGCACTTTAGGACAGATTATGACTAAACCAACCAACGACTG